CATCATTACACGGCTCAGGGGGACTATTGTTATTACCAGTACGTGCATTAAAATCACCACATATCAGTACGTGAAAATCTAACAGTTCAGATGAATGTTCAATCAACCACTGTTCCAGTAGTTCAAAACTTGTTCTTTTTCCTGAGGTATCATAGTAGTTTGATCCATATGGCGGTATGTACATTCCAAATAAAAGAACATTTTTATCACAACCGAATAGGTATTTAGATAATTTTATGCAAATGGCATTATCAAAAGTTAAGGGGTATTGAACGCAATAAGAAGATAAGGCTTTCTTCACATACATATATACCCAACCTGACAGTCTACCGTAATTTGCAATTTTATGAGCTTTGGCAAAGTAAATATCATAATCATTTAGTTCAGGAGCATCAACAGTTTTATCAAGGAAAGTTTCTAGTAAAATAACAATATCAAAGCTTCTAATATATCCAATGAATTCATTGTCCTCTAACTTCTTACGAAGACCTTCAATGTTCCATGACAAACTTGAACAACACTTATCACCATTGTTATCAGATCCAGGCTTATTATAATCATCAGTTTTATTAGTTGAGACAGGAGATGGGCCCTGGCCACACCCTCAACTTCTCTTAGTGCTCGATCGTGAAGCACTCTTAGAATCTCTATGGCTAAACTGAGCCCTGTCACTGTTGTCCCCTTCCTGGGAAGTTGTTTTCCGTGCTGTCCTTTCTGCATAGGTGTCCTGTTGTGTAGATGTCTGTTGACGTCGCTGCCTAGTTTCCTGACCTCTCGCTTGATCCTGTTCCAAAGGCTTGGTGAATAGCTTTCCATTTTTGAAGTATGCAATTAACCCCTTTTCTCTCATCTCAGAAATAGTTTCGCGCTGTCGCTTCGTGAGATCATTGGCAATACCAATGTTTGCACTTTGTAGATTTCTTCATGACTGAAGAGCTAATAATTTGTCCTCTGTAAAGGAAAACTTAGCGATTAATGGGCGTGGGCTGTCTTGACCATCCGATCGTTTTGGTCCAGTGCGATGCGCCCTTAAAATGTCTTCCTTCTTCCAGGTCTTCTCCTTCACGTGGCTATTGAGTGTTGTGATCACAGTTTCTTTAGAGGTGTCATAATCTTCCTTACTTGACTCCTGTATCCCGTAGCACACAACGTTGCCCCGCCTACTAAAGGCATCAAGCCTGTCCACACTATCTTCAATATATGACACTATATGACACATATGGTACATGGCACATCACACATCACAAATATGCAATTAATCACATCATATATCACAAAGAATATTACACGGCACAGATCACAGGGTACATGACACATCCCAGAACAACCCTCTATCTAAAAAACTTGACTCAATACAATATCAGGCTCTCAAACTAATTACACGCACCCAACATGGCACCTCCTACACTTCACTTCAGGCCTTAACAGGAGAAATGCCACTAAGTCTACGCAGGGAACAGCTAAGCTTAAATTTCTGGACCGCGTCCCAATCAAACCCTCTCATCCAAAACTTAATAAACCAAAACATCAGCCCCAAAAATAAAGGTCTAGCTCGTAAACACCCCTTACTTACCCCAATATCCCAAAGAATAACAAACTACCTAAATGAACACCAAATTAAAAATCTTAAACATAACTGCAAACAGTCAAATATCTTCACCCCTAAACTTAAAATACCTAAAATAGACACAACACTAGCTAGCCAAATAAATAAACAAACCGACCCAAACATAGCTAAAACCACCACACTAGCATACACGAAAATTGGCCAAATTGGTGTCACATTTACACGGACGGATCTTCAGATCCGACCTCCAAACACACAGGTTTCGGAGTCCATACCACACAACCAACTAAAACCACACAATCCTTCCGACTCCCAAACAACCAATCAATATTCACGGCAGAACTAATGGGCATGGCCTCAACCCTCAATAATCAAGAATCCAAAAAACAAAACAAAAATCCTAATACTTACCGACTCCCTAAGTGGACTGCAAGCCCTCCAAAACAAAAATACCCAAAACCGACCTAAATTAATAAATCAAATACTTAAAAGCTCCAACGACCCAACTAAGGCAGGCAAACAAATAACCTTCTTGTGGATACCCGCCCACGTAGGAATATACGGTAATGAAAACGCCGATAAAGCAGCTAAACTATCCCTCAAAATCCCAGAAATAAGCTTAAACTTACCCATCTCAAAATCAGAAATTAAAAGTGTGAACAAGCAAAAAATCACCAAAAAATGGCATAACCTATATCTAAACTCAAATAGCCAAATCAAAAAAGTACTCAGCAAACCACTAACCAAACCAAAAATTCTCCATCCATCAAAAAAATCGACAGAGTAATCACTAAAGTCCAAACAGGACATACCAACCTAAATAACCACCTAAAAAAAACACACGACAGGTAACTGACCACACTGCAAACAACTAGAAACCCCAGAACACGCACTCATCCACTGCACACACTACCTAACACATCGAACCGCATTACAAACCACCCTCAATCTAAACAAGGCTCTCACTCTAGAAGCAATACTAAACCCACAAAATAAACTAGAAAACTTCAAGGCCTTAGGCGTATTCTTAATCAAAACGGAACTAATAAAACGCATCTAAAAACACTATAAACTACCAAATTAAAATCACATAAACAAACAAACATCCACCATACCCAGCCCCCTTAGTTCTCCTCCCCAACCCCATCGGCATCTATTCCAAATCTCAAAATTCCCAAATTCTATATAAGCAACCCCTAAAGCCCCCTCTTGGGTTGCACACACCACTTTCGCCCCTTTCGGAAACACATTAAATGGCCTGGCCGGGCCCGTGTGCGAAATACGCATCAGTCGGAAAGCGCACGTTAAATCTCCAAAGTAAGTAAGTAAGTAAGACTGACACTCTTGATGGGTCAGTGATTAAGACAACAGATCAGTACACACGCTTCCTATTCAGTATGTACGTATGATTACATGGCCGTGTGTATGCATGGTATGTTTGGCTGTATGTATGATTAAATGTATGTAAATTATGTATGTGTATTTATGTGTGTGTCTGCGTGTGTGTAAATGTATGTAAGCCTAGATTACAAAATAAATGCTTCGGTCGTTTGAAGCCAGAAGGCAGAGGTATGCCCGGGAAAGAAGCCTATCTTCGCAGTTGGTCACTAGAGCTGAAACTTCTCTCGCAGAATATTTTTGAATAAGGCGAATGGAGCAGAGTAAGCTTAGGGGTTATCGGCTGTTGTGTGAAAACAATGCTTCAGAAAGATCGACGTCCTGTCCCTATGAACAAACCTACAGATTATGGATTGAACGTCAAAAGTTTCTGTCAGGTTTCTTAATGCTTAATTACTTTTGCTGGAAAATATGTTTCTTTTACAAGCGTTATAAAACATGTTAACATAAAAATATATGAATGTTGAAGCTAGGCTTCACTTCAGTTTTCCTTTATTTAGCAGGCCCCACATACTGAAAAACAGCCTAACTGTTTATATTACTATATCCTGCTATGCTTTACATATAACAAATCTATGCATTACTAATATATTAGGCCTTAAGTTTATCTATATTTCAAACTTTCTCCCTATGTAACAAAATCCATATGTTCTAGTATTAGTGAGTGAGTATGGTTTTACGCCGCTTTTAGCAATATTCCAGAAATATCACGGCGGGGGACACCAGAAATGGGCTTCACACAATGTACCCATGTCGGGAATCGAACCCGGGTCTTCGGCGTGAGGAGCGAACGCTTTAACCACTAGGCTACCCGACCGCCCCTGTTCTAGTATTATATTTGATATATCCGTATTTACGTATATACATCATTTATAATTTATAGTCAATATATATACCTATAAATCCTTACTATACTCAATAATGTAATGTAATGTAATGTAATGTAATGCATTACACTCCTCCCCCCCCCCCCCCCCACCCCCCCCCACCCCCCCCCCCCCACCCCCACCCCTACAATTAAGTATGATGGTTTATATCTATTAAGCATTTTATTAATTATTCAACCAGACCTACCCCGTCGATGAAATACAGGACTGTGAAGTTGACGTAAACCCTAAAACTTGATGATGATAATATATGAATGTTAATGCAAAAAGCGCTGCGTGTGAAGATATATTGAATACGTTTGACACATTAACCTATTTCTACACCTTTTTTAACGGTAAAATTAGATAAATTTAAACGTAAGTAGCATTTAACCGTTGAAATTAAAAGGTCTACAAGAAGATGTATTTCTTATAATAGATGGTCCATAAGGGTATTTAGTATTTCGTTATGAAAAAATAGTTCTCTTGATATTCAATACTGGACATTTCCCCACACCCCACTTTTTGTTTGTTTATGGTAAAAGTTAATAAGAGGAGGTTTGGTGGGGGACTAGAGGTATCTTTTCAGAAGGTGTTATTCTGGCATTACCCACTATTTACTGGAGAATATTGGAAATGAATATACTGTAGACTGTCATGTTGTCTGACTACAGATAGGATTTGTTATCTTAGCAATCGCTGGGGGTTTCACATTAGAGGTGATTTTTGGTTATGGGCCGGAAGAGCGAAACCTAGCCATAATCAACTCTAAAATCTCTTCGCTTTCGTAAAGCTACAGTAAGACTGGTCACGCTACAGTAAACACGGGATATTGCTGTACCGGGACTCTCAAATTACAAGAAAAACACAGAAATGCATATACCGTATTTACAGTAGTAATTTATTAGATGCTGAAGTATAGTATAGTTGCACGAAAGTACTTTACATTTAACAAATTTAATAACTCTAATACTTTAATATTTCATAGATGTACATTATAATTTCTACAAAAACAACAATAACTTATATCTTAAAATATGGTAAATACATTAATACATTCTATAATAAATTTGTCATTCACTCCAAGTGGATCAGGTCACCAACGTGATCTGTGTACGTCGCCGATGACGTTGTTGACAAGATTGTCTTTCAGAGCCTGAAGACGGTTGTCAATCAGCAGGTATCTTCTCTTTCTGGGTGGTGCTGACCAGTGGGATCCAATTCGTTGAATGGCGAGTTCTACGTTGTTTAGGAAGTTTAGGAAGGGTCTTGTGGCGTTGTCGGTACAGAATGGTCTTCAGGGATGCAAAGGAAGGAATTTCTTTAAGCAGGTCGTCTGGAACTACGTCGTGGTGGCGGCGAAGTCTGGAAATCTCATCTCCGTATATGGTTGGAATCGGCGTTGTTTCCGTCTTAGCACGGTGCATGAGCTTGGACTTGAAAGATTCCACTTCCATCTCATATTGGATAGGTTGGTGGGTATGGTTCACCTGCAATTAAATAATTGCATTTTAACTAATATTAACTATAAACAAATACATACATGTGACAAATACCTGTGGTATCTAAAAATAAGTAATAATAATAAGTAAAATAAATAACTGAATAGTTTGTTAAGCAAAGTCTTTTGAGTCTTTAAGATTATTATCATCATGATCATGTGCATTATTTTCTAACCTGCAAAGCCGCTTGAAGAATGCCGTTTTCAGTGATCACCGACGCTCTGCAGGCAGCAACAACGCAGTTCCAATACTTCTTCTCACGGACCGTTTTCTTGCAACGAAACTTGAATCCCTCATAAAACAAGTGCTGACCACCTCGCACGGTATCAACCATGGTCACTCGAACTTGTGCATTAGCCATTTTGGACATAGATAATGTTGTTGTTGCATTAAGTGTTTAATAGGTCGCCTTCTGCCTAGGCAATTTCGGCTGACCTATCCCTCTTTGGGACTCCTGTGTGTGAGAAGGGTACACATATCTATTGTGAGTTCGGTGTTCACATAATTTCTGTTTTTGCATTGATATGATTTCTATTTTCTTATATTGATATGATTTCATTTTTATCCTTGGCTGCTCTGTTTATATACGTTCGAGTAGCTGTCCTTCTCTCAGAAATAGAGTTAGTTTGGCCTTCGCTATTGCATCTCTTGGCTTTAGGAGATCTATGACAGATAGCGGATCTAACTGCAATTCTTGTTTTAACCTAGCCCGGGCTGGGCCATGGTCTTGACATTCTAGTAACACGTGGTCAATGGTTTCAGCATGATTGCAAGATGAACAAACCTTGTCATAGTGCTTTTTGTGACCAAGTCTGAGGCGTGAGATAGCAATTTGTTGGACCTTGGGTTGAATTTTGTATAGCCATCTGCCGATCTTACTTCCGTCCCATTAGGCTTTTGTTGGACCTTGGGTTGAATTTTGTATAGCCATCTGCCGATCTTACTTCCGTCCCATTGGGCTTGCCATCTTTCTGCTATGGAGGCTTTGATTTTGCTTTTTATCTCTAGTTTCCTAAGGGAATAGGCTGTATATCCGCTTTGTCTAGCGCTAGCTTCGCCAGTGAGTCTGCTTTTTCGTTTCCATGAATATCTATGTGAGAGGGGATCCAACACAACTCCACCTGTTGCCCTTGGTCCGATAGTTTTGTATATTCGTATAGAATATTGTTGACTGTGTTTGGCCTGGAGTTTGAGTTTCTGCCACTGATGGCCTGAAGTGCACTTAGCGAGTCTGATAGGACGACTGCCTTTGCTTCCGGGAGTTCCGGTATGAGTTTGAGTGCATGATGAATTGCCTCCAATTCAGCCGTGAATACTGACTGACCATCAGGCAAGCGAACTGAATGTTCTTGGGGTTTGGAGCTGTGGATATGGATCCCGTAACCAGCACTGTTGTTGATAGGATTCTTGGATCCATCAGTGTATATATGGGCCCAGCTGTCCCAGGTAGTTTGAATTTTAGTGATAGCTACTGATCGTAGTAGGGTTGGGTTTTCTCTTTTAGTGACTTCTGATGTTAAAGCAGTGTCAACTTTGGGAGTTTTAAAGTCCAGGGAGGGTGTAACCCTTTGTAGTGACTTTCTGGAGGCTGAATGTCATCGCAATTGTGACTTTGAATGAATTCACGTACTAATATCCCAGATGGCTTTAGTGGGGGATTTTTTCGAGCTAGGGCTTCATCTCGAGTGTTTTTGTCTTGCCATATCTTTTTAACCAAAGGGTTTGATGTTCGTCCCCAGAACGAAAATATTGCCTGCTCTCTTCCTAGTTTCAATGGGAGTTTCAATTTAGAAGTTTGGGTAGGAGAGTTGACCTGGTCAAAAAGATCATTGATCATGATATTAAACAGGGTTGGGCTTATAATGTCCAGTGCCATAGGATCAGATCGATTGTTCCCTATTTTAACTGATAGCGACCTGTCTTGCAGGAAGCTGTCTATGAAGTTTGCCATGTTCCCTTCTACTCCATTTTGTTCTAGTTTTGAGAGGAGTCCGTCATGCCATACCATGTTGAAGGCTTTGCTGAAGTCCAGAAATACTGCGGCTAGGTATTGTCTGTTTAATTGAGCTTTTTTTATTTCATTTTCCAGTCTTAGAATATGATCTAGACACGAGTGTCCCTTCCTGAAGCCACTTTGGTCAGGTTTTATGTGGTTGCCAGTTTCAAGGTGATGCATGAGCCTTTTTGTAACCAATGGCTTCCATGGCTTTGCACATGTTTGAGGTGAGTGAGATCGGTCGATAAGAGTTTGGTAGGGCTTCGCCTTTCCCTTGCTTTAGCAGCGGGATAACTGTAGCGTGTTTCCATGCTTTTGGGACTTCTCCATTGGACCATATCGTGTTATACAACTCAGTGAGTAAGCCTTTGGTTTGATCAGGTAGGTTTTTCAATATCTCATAGCTGGTTGTGTCAAGACCAGGTGCTGTGCCTTTTCTATGTTGTATCGCATCATCAAACTCTGTCACAGTGAATGGTATATTGTATACCAGATGCTTGCTTTGCGGCCGTTTTGAGATCTTAGGCATAAGCATTTTTTCCTGTTTGAATTCTTCACTGCAATTTGTGTTGCTGCTGACAGATGAGAAGTGCTCAGCTAGAATGTTGGCCTTTTCTTTGACTGTATGGGCGTTGGCTAACTTGGGAATTTTTGTGGGCTTACGCTTACCCCTGATTGCGTGTATTTTGCTCCAGACTGTTTTAGCATTTGTTTTTTCATTAAGGGATTTGCAGAAGGTCTGCCATGACTCTTTTTTAGAATCGTCTATGAGTTGTCTTACTTTCGTCCTGGCTGCTCGGACTTGGGCGAAGGCTGACTTATCCCTTTTTGACCTATTTAGGGCTTTCTTTCTCACTCTCCTAGCTTTTGCTATTTCCCAGTTCCACCATGGTACCGGCGTTTTGCCAGTTTTGTGGTCTTTTTTGGAATTGACTTTTCAGCTGCGGCAATAATTGCTGAGGTGAGATTTTGGCAAAAAAGATCAGGATCATCCGAGGCAATTTCTGAGGACTTGAATGATATACATTCCTTCCAGAATTTAGGCCAATCAGCCTTTGCATAGTCCCATGTGGGCTGAGGATTGGGCTGTTCCTCTAATTGTGGTGGGCTACCTATGTAGGTGAGTATAGGAAGGTGATCGCTTCCCCAAGTGTCGTCACGGACTTGCCATTGGCAATGTGACGCGAGGTTTTTGATGGCAATTGTGAGATCAATTGAACTCCACGTGTTGTGGACTTGGTCATAACGTGTGTGACTGCCGTTGTTCAGAGTTATGGGATTGTCGTCCTCAACCCATTTCTCTACCATTTTGCCGTATTTGCATGAATCATTCCTGTCTTCCCAAAGAGGGCTGTGGGCATTATGGTCACCAAGGATTATCCCATTTTTGCCTACTATTTGAGCTAGTCTTGTTAGCTCTTCCATGTTCGTTTCATGGGTAACCCTGTGATATATGTTAGCTATGCTTAATTCGTTGCCATTTGCCAGTTTTAGGGAGATTACATGGGTTTCAAGGTTTCCTACGTTTGCGTCGATATTTTTGGAGGTACATCTGTCGTGGACAAGGATGATTAGTCCTCCTCCCTTGTTGCCAGGCATAAGTCTTTTTCTGTCTTTTCTATATTGGGTGTACCCAGGTAGTGTGAATTTGGCTTTTTCACTGAGTTTAGTCACCTGTATTAGAATGACATGAGGCTTCATCACCTGTTTTTTGACGAGTGCAGTCAGTTCATTGCCGTGGCTCTTGAGGCCATTTGCGTTCCACTGTAGTAAAACTTACTTACTTACTTCGGAGATTTAACGTGCGCTTTCCGACTGATGCGTATTTCGCACACGGGCCCGGCCAGGCCATTTAATGTGTTTCCGAAAGGGGCGAAAGTGGTGTGTGCAACCCAAGAGGGGGCTTTAGGGGTTGTTTATATAGAATTTGGGAATTTTGAGATTTGGAATAGATGCCGATGGGGTTGGGGAGTAGAACTAAGGGAGCTGGGTATGGTGGATGTTTGTTTGTTTATGTGATTTTGATTTGGTAGTTTAAAGTGTTTTTAGATGCGTTTTATTAGTTCCGTTTTGATTAAGAATACGCCTAAGGCCTTGAAGTTTTCTAGTTTATTTTGTGGGTTTAGTATTGCATCTAGAGTGAGAGCCTTGTTTAGATTGAGGGTGGTTTGTAATGCGGTTCGATGTGTTAGGTAGTGTGTGCAGTGGATGAGTGCGTGTTCTGGGGTTTCTAGTTGTTTGCAGTGTGGGCAGTTTCCTGTATTTTTTCTTTTTTATTTTTTTAGGTGGTTATTTAGATTGGTGTGTCCTGTTTGGAGTTTAGTGATTACTCTGTCGATTATTTTTGATGGATGGAGAATTTTTGGTTTGGTTAGTGGTTTGCTGAGTACTTTTTTGATTTGGCTATTTGAGTTTAGATATAGGTTATGCCATTTTTTGGTGATTTTTTGCTTGTTTACGCTTTTAATTTCTGATTTTGAGATGGGTAAGTTTAAGCTTATTTCTGGGATTTTGAGGGATAGTTTAGCTGCCTTATCGGCGTTTTCATTACCGTATATTCCTACGTTGGCGGGTATCCACAAGAAGGTTATTTGTTTGCCTGCCTTAGTTGGGTCGTTGGAGCTTTTAAGTATTTGATTTATTAATATAAGTCGGTTTTTGGTATTTTTGTTTTGGAGGGCTTGCAGTCCACTTAGGGAGTCGGTAAGTATTAGGATTTTTTTTGTGTTTTTTTGATTCTTGATTATTGAGGGCTGAGGCCATGCCCATTAGTTCTGCCGTGAATATTGATTGGTTGTTTGGGAGTCGGAAGGATTGTGTGCTTTTAGTTGGTTGTGTGGTATGGACTCCGAAACCTGTGTGTTTGGAGGTCGGATCTGAAGATCCGTCCGTGTAAATGTGACACCAATTTGGCCAATTTTCGTGTATGTATGCTAGTGTGGTGGTTTTAGCTATGTTTGGGTCGGTTTGTTTATTTATTTGGCTAGCTAGTGTTGTGTCTATTTTGGGTATTTTAAGTTTAGGGGTGAAGATATTTGACTGTTTGCAGTTATGTTTAAGATTTTTAATTTGGTGTTCATTTAGGGAGTTTGTTATACTTTGGGATATTGGGGTAAGTAAGGGGTGTTTACGAGCTAGAGCTTTGTTTTGGGGGCTGATGTTTTGGTTTATTAAGTTTTGGATGAGAGGGTTTGATTGGGACACGGCCCAGAAATTTAAGCTTAGCTGTTCCCTGCGTAGACTTAGTGGCATTTCTCCTGTTAAGGCCTGAAGTGAAGTGTAGGAGGTGCCATGTTGGGTGCGTGTAATTAGTTTGAGAGCCTGATATTGTATTGAGTCAAGTTTTTTAGATAGAGAGTTGTTTAGGGTGT